TACTACACTACTACTACTACGACTACGACGACTACGACGACGACGACTACTACTACTAATACTACTAATACTACTAATACTACTACTACGATGAGGACTACTACTACGACGGCGACGACGACGACTACTACTACAACTACTACGACGACGACGACTACTACTACGACTACTACGATTACTACTGCTACTACTACGGCGACGACGACGACTACTACTCCTACTACTACGACGACTACTACTACGACCTACTACTACTACTACTACTACTACTACTACTACTACGACTACGACTACGACTACTACTACTACTTCTGCGACGACGACTACTACTGCTACTACTACTACTACTACTACTACTACCACTACTACTACGGCGACTACTACGACGACTACTACGACGACGACGACTACTACTACCACGACGACGACGACGACGACTACTACTACTACGACTACTACTGCTGCTGCATCGGGCCATCAAGCTTCGGTGCGAGAATCATCCGCGGGCAATGCCGACAGCTCATGTCTCTGTTTGTCTGCGTCTCTACAGAGAGTGTTATGTGTTTATATATATATATATTTATACTTAGATATTTATATTTATCATTATGATTACTATTAATCATTACTAATTAATTATTATTAAGGAATCAAGCATTATATTTTTTTTGGGAGCATCTAGATATATCTAGATGCATAGGTGTAAGATGAACCTAGGCGGGGGCCAGCGACGGACTTGCTCAGCAACCTTGGGCCAGGTCCTCAACAGAGTTTGACCTGCTGAGGCCTAGGGAGGACGGAAATCTGGGAAGTTAAGTGCAGCATAGTAAACAAGACACGAACCATGGGGGGTCCTTCTTTGAGCAGGAACCGAAGGAATTGGAAGGCGACAGTGATTGTTGTTTCTGCAACTTCCCGGAAACACGTACGCACTTCAATCCGTGTCTCCCGATAAGAGGGTCCCGTTGTGTCCCCACTGTGAGCTTCCTTCAGTGGCTCCAGGACGGCTGGGTTGATGTGCAAGTCCATACTCGGGAGCCCGGCCCCAAGAAGCAGAACAGAGAGGAGTGCCGTCAAGAACAGTAATAATAAGGACAATGGTAATGATGATGGTAATAATAATGGTAATAATAATAGTAATAATAATACAAGTAAAAAGAAGAATAAATATGTATGAATACTACTAGTAGTAGTTACAATGTTTTATCGAGATGGTTAGGGCTTTAAGGGCTCCAGCACTCTGGGAGGGGCTCAGCTGAAATGGCCCTGAATGAAAGCTGACACGTCGCCCTTTGGACGATTTGGCTTCCCAGCTTGGGCCAGCACAACATAGGAGCTCCAGTAACTCTCTTCGTTGCTTGCTGATAGCTACTCTTCATCTCGATCACGCTCCGGCTTTCTGTGATTATTCAGGCTCCTCTAGTGCCTCGCATGGGCTGCCGGCTGGGGCCCCGCGTTGAGCGCCTCTTTCGGGGGAGGCTCTTCCCAGGCAGGGTGCTGAAGGAGACTTCAGGGTGAAAGCCGGAAGAGCACAGAAGTCCGGTCTGCCACTGCGACTGCTACTGTTACTGCTACAACTACTGCTAGTTCCATTGCATTTGCGAGTACCAGTGCAAGTACTAGTACGTACTAGTACTGCTACCACAACAACAGGCAACAGCTACAGCTGCAGCTACACAGCTACACCTACAGCTGCAGCTACAGCTGCAGCTGCAGCTGCAGCTACAGCTGCAGCCGCAGCTACACCTACAGCTACAGCTACACATGCAGCTCTACAGCTACAGCTACAGCTGCAGCCACACCTGCAGCTACAGCTACAGCTACGGCCACACCTACACCTACAGCTACAGCTACGGCCACACCTACACCTACACCTACAGCTGCACCTACAGCTACAGCTACAGCTACGCCTTCACCTACAGCTACAGCTACAGCTACAGCTGCTACACAGGTACTGCAGCTGCTGCTACTACTACTACTACTACAACAACTACAACTACAACAACAACAACAACAACTACTACTACTACTACTACTACTACTACTACTACTACTACTACCTACTACTACTTATTAATACTGCTACTACTGCTACTACTACCACTACTACCACTACTACCACTACTTCTTTCTATTACTACTATTGCTATTACTATTGTTATTGGTATTGCTATTGCTATTGCTGTTGCTGTTGCTGTTGCTATTGCTGTTGCTATTGCTATTGCTATTGCTATTGCTACTATTAGAAGTAGTAGTAGTAGTAGTAGTAGTAGTAGTAGTACTACTACTACTACTACTGCTACTACTACTACTACTACTACTACTACTACTGCGCTCGCCACCACCACCACCACCACCGCCGCAGCCCGCAGCCGCAACCACAACCACAGCCACTACCACAAGCACACCCCGAACACAGGAAACACGAATAGCAGCCATGCTCCACTAAGATGATCGTGACAATGACACAGTCCACGGCCCTCGCAGGCAGTGGCTGCAACGAGGTCTCGGTGCTTTCCTGGAACCTCCTTGCGCCGGGGGCCGATGGAGGCATGAAGGTGGACTGGGACACTCAGAGGCTTCCCTGCCTACTGGAGCATCTGGGGCTTTATGTCTCATGTGACATCATCTGCCTGCAAGAGCTCGAGAAAGGGACCTCGTTGGAGAAGGTGCAAGGCTTCCTGGCGGAGCAGGGCTTCGCCTGCGAGACGCAGCAGCGCGAAGGGAAGAACAGCTTCCATGTGGTCAATGCCACGTTCTTCAAAGCCGATCGCTTTCGCGTCAACTGGTCAGAATCTCGCTCCCGAGTCCTTCTAACGGGCCTTCTGCTGCCCAATGGCCGTGAGATTTGCGTGCTGAATGTGCACCTGGCCGCGAACGGCGCTGCAGAGACTCGGTCGTCGCAACTGGCACATGCCCTGCAGAAGATGCAGGGGATCATCTCTTCATACAAGATCATCTGTGGTGACTTCAATGACAGGCTTGACAGTGACAGCCCTCTCATCCCCCTGCTTGCCACACTCGGAGTGTCCCGCACCGCACCTTGTGGGTTCACGCATTACTGCGGCCTTGCTCTCGACCACATTTGTGTCAGCTCGGGCCTTTCCCAGCAACTGGTGCTCACCAGCACGCAGAAGGAGCTGGCCGACCTCAAGCAACGAAGCCTCCCGGACACAGAGCATCCCTCGGACCACTTTCCCGTGGCAGGCCTCTTCCATCTGAAGCCATCAGATTGGCAACTTCCCAAGCTGCCGGAGGTGCCTCAGGCCCTGCCGGGTGAGCTGGAGGCGTGGAGGGAGCTTTGCCTGGAAGATCTGCGGCCTCTGCCCAGCGACAAGAAGGTGCGGAAGGAGCGGCGGAAAGCGCAGAAGCAGCTGGAGGAGAGCTTCTTCTCCGCTCTTCCCGGCGGCGAGCGAGGCCTCAGAAAGTGGAGGGAGGAGACGCAGGCAGCCGCGCGCGCTCTCTGTGTGCTGGTCCTGGACGACGCCCTGGCCGCCGTCCGCAAACAAGATAAAGCCGACGGAGTCACCTGAATACCTAGTGTCTAGAGCCTGCAGAGCTGCAAGGGTTGCGTTTTGTCCTTGCTTGTACAGTGTACAGTGACGAAAAGCCGATGCAGAAGGCCTTCCACGGCCGCATCGGCCGAGCGCAGCCCTTCGCCTTGTCCGTCGTAAGAAGAGCCCCAAAGATCCCCAAAGCGAAGCGCCGGAATCCCAGAGCTCCAAAGGCCCCCGTTCTCCGCTCAAACCCCAGGCTGGGAGAAGATGCGGGATCAGAAGGTGGAGGAGCTTGGCCTGGACGTGCAGGAGCCTTCAGAATGACGAACACACAACATAATTCTTGGTCCTTGTGTGTGTGTGTGTGTGTGTTCGGTGGTCCGCACTGAATCAGGCTGCGCATTTTGGGCCCACGGCAACCTCACGAGCAATCGGCCTTTGCCAATCGACATCAATCGACGGTTTGCTACCAGGAGCTCATCCGCGAGTTTGGCGAGGTGGGCCCAGGATGTCATGACGTGTTTGCCGTGGGACTCAGAGTTGTGTGCTGCTCCTAGCAGGTTGACTGTCAGCCCCAACAGCCCGAAGCCCCTAAACCAAATCTACATCCTTTCAGAACAGGTTCGCGACAGGTGGATGTCCGACGATCTCGCCTCGTGGCTAGCCAGCTCCTGAGATAACTGCTGCATCGTGAGGAGAAAGGGCGAAGTGCTCAGGTTCAAGGTTTGCAGTTGAGGCCTTGGGGGTTTATGGGTTGAGGATCTTCGTGACCCAGGCCTGCAACAAGGCCTACGACATGGCGGGGCCCACAGCATGCGTCCGCCGTTGCGTCCCCTTGACCGATTAGCATTAGCGGACCAAGGTGCCGGATGTCATGATGGAAATGGTCGGGCGGGGCGCAGAGGCCGAGCCCCACCATTTTGTCCCTCCATGTTCGAGATATGTGTCTAGATGTGTTCGAGCATCTCCCATGACAGGTCTACATCATCACGACGATGCTTGGCTCAAGCAGACGGGAGATCGAACATTTGGAAAGTCAAAGCTGCCTCAGCCGCTCTGCAGTGCCAGCTCCAGATCTTTCTATGTATCGCAGAAAGAAGCAACTGCCGGCCCAGGAAGCAGAAACGCTTCGCGCAAGCCCTTCTGGAGGCTTGGGTTCGTCTCCTTGGCAACATGGGCTCGTCGGAACGCTGTAGAGCTCCAAAGGCTTCGACTGTGCTACTATTGTAGGATTATCGTTGTAGTACTATCCTAGTCTTACTATGGTACATTGTAGTATAACTTTATTATTGGTATAGTCTCATTATAGTACTATTCTAGTCTTCTTTAGATTGCGGGAGTCCCATCTCAACCTTTGGGATCTTGCTGCTTTAGTGGAAGGACTTCGGTGTTGAACTGCCGGCGGACCACATCTTTGCCTCGCTCCCAGCTGAATGGGAGCTCAAGCACCCCCCCTTGTTGAGTGAACAGAGCCCACAACAAGAAAGCCTGAACCCCAAACCGCAAATCCTGAGCCCTAAACCCCCAACCCCGAAACCCTGAATCCCCGAGCCCTAGATCCCCAAATCCTTCAGTCCCCAAGCCTTGGCACCTAGATCCCTGAAGCCTCAAAGGTCCCGGATAGGAGCCCTGACAGGAACCCCCGAACCCCTAGGTTTAGTATTCAGGAGGCTCCTCAAAGGGGACCCTTCTTAAGCGTAAGTATGGCTGTCCTAACGGGGACCTTGCTGAGAGGGTCTATATCCCCAAGGGTCCCCTTAAACCCTAAACCCTAAACCCCAAAACTCTAAACCCTAAGCCCTAAAACCCTAAACCCAAAAACCATAAAACCCTAAATCCAAAAACCCTAAACCCCAATTCCTATCTCCTACACTGGTCTCTGCGAGGCTTTGGAGGATGGGCCCAAGCCGGCCGTGCTGAAGTCTCTCCTCGGCCGACCGGAGCCTCGAGCCCGGACCGGTGTTTCTTCAAGGAGCTTAGGGTTTAGAGTCTAGGGT